AAATAGGTCAATTTTGTTAAGATTTCGCAAGGATTCGAAGATGGAAACTCGGTCCATTAATTTTGTTCTCGCTAATTCTTATGGCACTCATACATCCAGTTTCTATATGTGTTTTTTACAAACTTTTTTTCGGAAACGTTTACCTCCTGCTTGTATGATGGTCAGATTCGACGATTTCCAATAATTCACATTTCAATAGAGTCATCTGTTGCAAAAATGTATACGAGTATATATATATATATATATATATATTAATATATATATATATGTAATAATTGGCGCTTTGTAACCGCTGAAATGATTTTCGGTCCAGCTCCCCTTCCAATTTTTGGTTTTGCGCCTTGATGTTTTTTCAAAAAACGGAAGGATCCACACTTTATACTAAGCCGCCTCCGAACGGACCTTTATTTCAATTCAGAAATACACTCGGAGGGTTTGATATTCCCTGCACAGGGGCTACCACAATTCGAAAATTTAACTTGATATGTTATTTAAATTAATTTTCTTTAACCTTTGAATGTGAGTGGTACCAGAAATTGAACGCGAGCCTTCCGAATAGCAGTACGCAATCCTAACCACTCGGTTGTATCAACAATAATGGATTACCTTTTACTAGATCAATAGGGAGAAGTGAAACATAAAAGAGAGTCTGCCTTTGCGGAGCTCCAACCGATTATTCAAATACGGTTTTCAATTTTGTTTAAAAAAACAGTTATGAACCAAAATTTAATTTTATTTAGAGCTAAAAATTAATTATATATGTAAATAAAATTTTACACGAAAGAATCAAATAGACATCAGCTGTCTCACTCCAGTTAATTTAAATAATTCATTAACTGAGTAGCGAAATATATATATAAAATTTTTATAACGACTGGATAAAATTAAAAAAAAATTAGTTATTCTTTATTTATATTTTATTTCCTCTACATTCCCCTGTGATCAAACAAATAACTTTTAATTAAAATGTCGCCTTTGGAAAAAGCTGCCAGCGGCTGATCACGTACATAAAGCACAAACAAGAGACTCGGGCATGTATTTAAATCACCTAAAGCATTGATTTTCTCTACAGTCGAGGCAAATAATCCACACTTGTCTACGCTCAACCACAATCATATAGATATCAACCAGAACCGCAACCAGGCCAACTAGCTTGGAAGAGAATGATTTCAAAATGAAATGACATGGCGCCACGACTGTCGCTAACTACCGCAAAGAGTCAACATTGCCACAACAAGTGAATATAACTACAAATTCGACACCCACACAAAATGGCGGTTACCCCGCTCAGTATGTGTGGTATTTATTTATTTGACACGCCATATAATGAAAATACAACATAGCAGCATTAAATGAAGTCATGGAAAAGTTTGATGGCCGGAGGATTTCGGAGGGATGAAATAAATAACTTCAACAATATTATTGGCAAAATTGTTGGCGCTCATGTGTTTATTTGCCTGTATAAAGACATCAGTCGGAATAAAAATAATATTTTTCTTGCATAATATAAAAGCTACAATAAGTTAATTAAAAAATATAATATTTTTTTAGTGAAAAATAAATATTCAAAATAAATTCATCAATTTTTTATCTCCACAGCCACACATGGCATCCGAAATAAGCAGTAGTATTTGAATAAATAAACCGCACAGCTCAAAGCTCCCATCGACAAAAAATTCAAATCAGATAAAAAGCTCCAATTCTTCATTTCATTTCAATTTTCATTTCATTTTATTGTTTACTTTATTCCCCATTTCCAATGCACTTAGCGATTGTAAAATCTATCCAAGCGCATTTGAATTTTTAAAAACTCAATTTTATTGTCGCTTTAACACTTGTTTGGCGAAAAAATCAACACGTTGCGTAATCTACGTTCTGCTCTCTGTGTGACTTTGAGTCACTGGAATGTATGCAAGCGTTAATCCATTCATTGAAGTGCATCAAAAATTATTTATTCACTTGGCAGAAAAAAGGAGAAGCAAAATTTTATGTATTTAATTTTTTTTTTTTTTGACTTCACTTTAATGATCGTAATTGAAAAGCTTTAAGATTTTTTTTATCAATTGAAAATATGAATTTTTTAAAGCTGATACCTTTGATAACTTTTTTTTTTAAATGCAATAAAACAAATGCCCATTCGGCAAAGGCAAACCGCATCGGATGGTCTCGTGGCTTCAATTCTTGAACCAATGGAACTTTGTACGGTGTCATACCAAAGTCTTTTTTCAAAATTCGTCTAAGGGACGTCTCGGAAATGTTCAATTGTTGAGAGCGACGCTTCACTGATGTTCCGGGCGCCTCACGCACACTCTCGGCCACAGCAGCGATATTACCGCCAGTACGCACTTTTTTTGGTTCCTCACGCGTTGGTTTATCTATAATTGTGCCGGTTTCTCTCAATTTTTTCAAAAGAGAGCGCACATACGGAGCGGACGGTGCTTTGTTACGGCTCTTTTCCGTGCGTAATTTTCGCACACCCTTTTAAAGTAAAGCTGCCCTATTTTAACGCGTTCCTCAATCGTATACACAACCATTTTCGTTCAGAGGAAAGATAAAACTAACTTTCTGTCAAATCAGATGTAACATTAGTGTTACCACACTCAAAATAACCACTAGTTCAAACAAAAAATGTTAGATGGCGGACCCTGTATATATTGTATATAGCGCCTTGTAACCGCCAACTCGATTTTTTCTACCGAGCTCCTCCTTCAGCTTGTGGTTTTGTGTCTTAATGTTTTTCCAACAAATGGAGGGACGACACCACTTCGCTACTGCGGCCGCTAGCTACGACGCTCCGAGTTTTTGGTTTACTATGACAATCGTATCGAGCTTTCTCGCTGCATAAGCAAACAACATAACCCCATAAAAAATAGTCCAGCTATCTTAAATGACACGCTCTAGAAGGTCACGACGCGAGACAATGCGCTCACCAAAATTTCTTACAAAAAATTGATTGTTTAGTTGGCTGAATGCATGTAGCGTCGCTTTGTTGGAAGCAAAAGTCCTTATCAATCACCAGTTATACAACAAAAAATCTTTTCCCACTCACTTTTACGCCCGCCATTCTTTTTTGAAGAAGTATGGACAAATGATTCCCTCTGCTCATTGGGCACGCTATCTTGTATCGTTTTGAGAATTTTACGTCATCTATGCGACAATTTTCTTGATTATGACCATTTTGTTTTGGTCCAATTTATTGAATGTGTGACGCGAATCTTATCTCTTCTTTAAAGTTAATGGATACAGCTCTAATGGCTGCGGAATGGTCGGATGGACTTTTTCGGATCTTCTGCGATACTGTGATTCACAGCAGCAATAGCGTCATCGGTGTGCACTGATAATGGAAATTATGCACTAGAGTAAACGTGTTGGCGAAAACGAATCATGTCAACCGAGTCACGATCCTTTTGCTGATTATACCAACCAAATATTGGAGGAGTGGCTTAGCGGAATTATTATATTGAAACTAAATTTACACGACCTAAGCATTGTTCCAAACATAAAATTATTTTACATCGGTTCACACCGCTTCAATTGCGGACATTAGAAGATAAATTTGTTGTAGTTACGATCACTATATTTCAGCTGAGAGGAAAACAAAAGCAGAATCAAATGAAATCATAAAAAAATGGTTAAAACTTGTCAAAAAAAGCAGTAAGCTAAAGTAAAGATGTAAAAGAATTCGAATCCATATTTGCACGTAAGAAACTTCCAGCTCTTGAGAATATCGAGAAATAGACACATTCGGGTCTTCAGTTTAGAGTAGCGGTATTTGTGGTGGAAATTGCTTAAGTCGTTGGACGTTTGTGTGTACCATAATCTCATTTTAAAGGAAGAATAGTAAATAAATAGTAAATAGAAGTAGAAACATCATTTTAAGAGAAGGTTTCAATAGCGCTGTGCGTTTGTTGGCCACCCACTTTCTTTAATGGCTGATTTTCAACTATAAGTAATCACGAACGGTTTGAAAGCAAAATTTGACATATGTCAAAATACAGTCGTGTAATTTTGAAACCACGAAATGGATAACCCTATGTTATTGCGCATCTAGATTTAACAATAATATTATAAAAAAATCTTGATTGCTTTTTACGAGCAATTATTATTTTCAGAGTTATTTTTTTTTCAATTATGTGATTTTTTTCTTTAATTTGAACAAAAAAAAATTGGAGAAACAAATCTCGGTTCCCGAATTTCAAAATATTTTACAGCAGAACTATTTTGTTTTTATTATTGTATTATATATTTTTCTGAATCTTGTTTTTTCTTTTTTCCAAAAATCCAAAATAGAGTTAAGAAAACTTTGCCCGAATTTCAACCACAAAATTATCTTTGCAATTTAATTGTGATTTGCGTGTTTATTTGTAGGCAAATTTCTAAAGTTCAGTGCTTCTTTTTTGCCAAAAAAATTAAAGTAAAAAATAAAAATGTGCATTAGAGTATGTACGTATTCAGCAACATTTAGTCGGAGACCGCAAATATGTTTCGAAAATTTTTGGTTGTAAATATTTCTTCTTTCACATTTTTTTGCACATATAAATATTTTCGTTGCCAAAACTTGCATTTCAATCTCTCCACTGCATGGTCAAAGTGCTTTGGCAGCTTTCGCACTGTCAGCAATGTATTATAATGTAAATATGAAAACTTTTTTTTGGAGGACAACTTCTACTTCGACGAAAAAAATATTTATATATTCATAAGTTGCAAGAAATGCGCCATTTTAAAATCAGTTTTCGCGCAGTTCATGACATTCAAAGCTATTAATTGTTGTACTTTTTGGAGTTTTTATTACAATTTTTAAATTTATTTAAATGGTTTTAGTGTTGGCAAACACTGATTTTCCATAACTTTGGTTTTTTCCACAGCATGGGCTCACTCTTGAACTTGAATTTGGTTGCCAATAATATCTAGTAGCTGTACTTTTCATTAAATATATGTACACATATATGCTTATAGCCAAGATTTGATAAAAAAAAATACTAAATTATTTTGGTACTTACAATATGTTGCTGTTGTTAGACGATCAATGGTGTCTTGCTTCAATTTGGAATTTTTCTTGCCCATTTTTGTACCGCCGACTTAAGTCGTTCACTGTGCGCGTCGTAATATTTTTGAGTTTTTTACTATTTGCTAAAGCAAATATATCTTAAACCGCTACAGTTATTTGCCTTAAATTAAACACTTGATAATCCTGATTTCTCGTATTTTACACAAATTCCTGCACTGCCTCTTTAATGTTGATTCTGAAAATAAATAGATAATAGAACCGATTAATAAATATACTTTTTCATACTGTTTTTTATAATTTCGTTAGCATAATTAAGTGTACTCAAGGCAAATTTCAGTCTAAAGAAGATCATGTAATTTAAATTGTCTGCAGAACGTTGTCGATAGCCCTACTAGAAACTGGGAGTTTGACTTTTTCGTCAATTTTCGGTTTTGAAAACAGGCGTAAAAAATGCTTTTGATATTCTTTTTTTCATGAATTTTCTTTGTTATTATAAAACTTGAATTTTGGAATTCTATGTGGGACAACACGTCATGCAAATGACCGTCTACCACTTGTTCTCACATATGGTATCTCAGCCATAACTTGACAAACCAGTTTTCCACTTAATCATGTCCTGTGGTCCCACAAAAAAAGTCCAACGACGTCAAATAGCACGATCTCCGTGCCCATCTTGTTGACACCACATATTGTTTTTTGGTCATCTTCTTCGATGTGAGGCATGATCGATGAGCTGTTCGAGTTTTACTATGACAATGACAAAGGTAGTTCAGTGAATGAAGAGACAGCGTCTACACTGGTTATATCATGTCGTCTGAATGAATGAAAGCGCGCCAGTTTTGATGTATTACCCACCGGTGGAAGCAAAGGAAGTAGAAGACCTAAACTCCGTTAGAAGAAACAAGTGTTGAGCGACTTGGAATCACCTGGAATTTTCAACTGACGCCAAACAACCAAAGAAAAGTGATGAGATTTTAGATTCAGACATAAGCGCATGCATTGCTTATGCCATAAAAGAGGAAAAAATATAAGTCTTCTTTTGAAAACATTGTTATATTTTGAAGGTCCATTATCCTTTGAAAGTGTGAAAGTCTAACGAAAAAGTAGTTGAAATTTAGAAACTAAAGTATCAGGTGTACAACCTTGCTTCCGCCGTTTTCCGATAGGTGGCTGTACCAATACATAGATGATAATGCCTTTAAAGTAGGTGTGGACAGTGCCTGACGAATTGTCATCGCCGTTTCAGTGACAGTTGTTCTTGTTTTCGTATTATTCACGCTCGAAAATTACCGTTTATGTGCCTAATTCTCGCCATTTGCGGGAAGTTTTACTTTTCTGTTACAATTTGAAAAAAAAAATACAGCTTAAGCGCATCGAATGCTCTCAGAAACTTACGGTGATGCTGCTCTGAGTGAAAGAACGTGTCGGGAGTGGTTTCAACGTTTTAAAAACGGTGATTTCGATGTCGAAGACAAACATGGTGGTGGAAGAGAAAAAACCTTCAAAGATGAACAACTAGAAGCTTTGCTTGATGAAGATTTGTGCCAAACCATCACAAGAGATCGCTACCGAACGCAACTGATGCGACTTAGTCGCGCGCTAAAAGAAAAGCGGCCACAATATCATGACATGGACATGACATGACATAACAAAGTCATCCTCCAACACGACAATGCTCGGCCTCACGTCGCAAAAGTGGTCAAAAAGTACCTGGAAACGCTGAAATGGGAAGTCTTGCCCCACCCGCCGTATTCCCTAGATGTCGCCCCTTCTGACTTCCACCTATTCCGTTCGATGGCACACGGCCTGGCAGATCAATATTTTCAATCCTTCGAAGAATTGGAAAAATGGATTGCTTCATGGATAGCGTCAAAAGAGGACTCCTTTTTTCGAGCCGGGATCCGAAAATTGCCGGAAAGATGGGAGAAAGTTGTCGCTTGCGAAGGACAATACTTTGAATCATATGTCTGTAAGCACTTTTTCGCAATAAAGCTTTTAATTTTGGAAAAAAAACGGCGGAAGCAAAGTTGTACACCTGATAATCCACCAATGTTTGATTGTATTAAGTCTGCTTAAAATTGTCTTATAACTATTGGTTTAACATATCATATAAACAATATAATTGGCATTTCCATGTTTATAACAAAGAAGGAAAGGATTATTCATCATTGTAAATGTAAATCAATTTATAAAGTATTTGCCAAAAAGAATTTTTAAATATAATTAATCGACTCAAACGAAAAATCACATGAACACAAATATTTAGAGCACATTGCGGTTTCTCACATAACAATTTAGCTTTTGCGCAACTTCCTTTTATTGTCGCATTTATTTGGATTTAAGCAAAAATTGGCCGCATTCCTTAGGCGAAAGAAGAAAAATGTAATAAAACATGAATGTGTGAAAACTATGCTTGAAGTAACCCGGAAATACTAAATAAATACACTCACATACATTCTTATATATAAATAAATAAATAAATTGTTCTGCACTTTTTTGTGGGTTTTCAGAAAATTTAGCTTTTGGCGCATTTATATTTTTTATAACTAAGAAATTTTACCTCTCAAAGTGTCATGAAAGGATTTATAAATGCAGACAAACTTGCCAAAAACCCTAATCAATATTATTGTCTCCTAAAAGTCCGGAATTTGGTTTGTGTTTGTCGCATTAAAATTAAATATATTTTTTGTTACCCTCAAAGTCTATAACTTCATTTAAGCATGTGCTGTACATATATATGTATATATAAAGTTAGCTTGTAAGTTGTAGAGGTTTAGTTATATATGTACAGTTATGCTTATATGCATGTGCGAATTTGGTCACATTTTAATACAGTAAATTTACATTTTAATATTGCAACGGTAAGGTACATTAAGTAATGGCCTAAATTGTCAAATGTCAATAGCTCTTACCATTTCCATACATACTTAAATGTTTATATATAACTTTTTCGCACTGTTTGGATAAGTTATCCGTCAACAATCAATATGTTGGTTTCGCTTCTGATGTTTGCTAAATATTCGCTGGCATAGAAATATGTCACACGTGATTTATTTTCAACATTCCCAGCACTCACAACATATACGAGTATCACGATAAAGTTTTCAACATGTACCACAGATATATATGTATATGTGCGTGCATGTATTTTGTAAAGAAAATTTATTCGGCTGGAAAACTCAGTCATGCCTTCATTTCATAACTTTTTTAGGAAACTGTATACAGAGATCTCGAAAATAATCATTTTCATATATTTTTTTTTTAATTTTTCCACCATCGCTTTAGAGTTTTATGTACTCGTATATTTCAAGTGGTTATTTGAGATTCTACGGCGATTTTTAACAGTTTGTTCAATATTTAAAAAATTCAAAATTTAAATCTAATTCTTCTTATCGCTCAGAAAATTAATATTAAAAATTTAGTTATATTTTCCTATAGGAGGTAATTTTTACATTTCAATTTTTTTTTTTTTTTTTTTGTTCAAAAGCAATTATATCTAATAATTTTATTTTATTTCAACATAGATAATAATAATCTTTTCATTTAAGTTTTTTGATCGAAAATAACGCTCTTCTTTTGAATTTTGTGTTTTATTTCTTCATAAAAAATATTCATTGAACTTTGAGTTCTAAAATTTTCTACAAAACTAATAATAACATTTAAATTTAAATTTTTTGAGCAAAACTTTCGCATTCATACTCAAAAATTAATTGGTTTTTATATATTTAAGTTACAATTTTTAATTTTATTTTTTTGTTCACGAATATACATACATATTTTTTTCTTTTCTTCAAAATTTTGTTGTTTTTTGGTTTTTATATCATATTTATCAAAGGGGGTTTAAATTGGACTAGTTCTAATTTCCTATCACAGTGCATGTCAATTCATTTAGATTTTTGGGCGAAGTGAAACAACAACGTCGTTGACGCTTAAGGGAAAGGAACTTCATGTCAGAGCCGATATTAATGTTATTGTTATAGGATACCTACTGACAACTACTCATTAAATTTGGAAAAAAAAAAGTCTGAAAAGATAAAAAACTTTAAATATTTTCCCTTTGCAACCAACATAAAATTAAAAATTAAAATTAAAATAAAATATACGTCGAAGAAACTGTTTCCCCCAAACCGACACTCTTACTGAAATCCAAACTAAATTTATCAGAACTCTGCTTCATATGAATATACATATATATAAATAATCAGTTTGGAATATAGTTGAAATTTCGGTTTATGAAGAAGCAGCATATGCTAAATATCTGTTTCTATATTTCCTTTTGTTATTTTTGCCGCTTAAGCTTGGTTTGTTATAAAAAAAGAGGAAAGTTACGTAGAAAGGTATTCAAGTAAAACAATCAGAAATATCCGAAACTCGCATAAGAATCAGAAAAAGGAAAAAAAGTTAAAGCTGAAATGACAAATAAAACAAAAAATAAACAGCTAAAAACAAACAAACATGCCATAGATGGTTAAATGTCGACTGAAGAACGATTTATGCGGGACCAACAAAAATGGTGGGATTATAAAAATTGGAAGAAAAAAACCGAAATTCATCCTTATGAATTTCTTAATCACTTATAAAGTTCAATATAACAACTTAAGAAGATATATGATTTGTTCATTTGAGGCCTAAATCTTTAACTACTTTCGTTCGGACACATGACAAACGATGTAATACGATTAAGGCATTTATGTTACTGGGAATTTAGAAATCTTGTTTAGCTAAAACTTACACAATACGGAGATTCCAATAAATTTGTAATCGTATTTTCAGTGATCAGGGATTGATAGGTTGTAACATTGTAAAGAATCGGGGTGTACTAAGGCTAAACGGCTAGGTGTTAGCGAAGATTTCAAAGTTTGCAGGTCCCAGTTAATTATATTTTAAACCTTAATTTTAAATTAACACACATTTATTTTACAACAAAGTCTTTTAAAAGTATAAACTTTTTTCTTTGTATTCTTCAAATAATTTTTTTTAAAACAATTTGTTTAAACTACCGATGTGATTTAATTTAACTCTGGTAAAAGTTCCAACAATTTTGTAATATCCCGCAACACATATGCCACACTCACAACCAAATGTTTATAACGAGTCCAAAATCTACACTCAAAATAGGGTCGACCCGAAAATAAATTTAAAAGAAAATAAAATAATAAAAAATGTTTCTTTCAGGCAAAGAATTGTTACGTCATTTTGGGAATTTCCAGCGAACATCCCCAAACCAGGGTCAGAAAATTATTTTCTTCATCATCTGCACTCATCACTTCCAGAAAATTTCAATATTATAAAACCTATCGGACCATTATATTACAGTTAAAGCAAAATTAAAAAAAAGAAAATGATATTTATTTCAAATGCCTAGAGGAAAGCAGCTGTCGGAATTTGAATTAAGGCATATTGCAGGCGTAAGAAGTGAAGGGATTGGAGTTAATGCCATTGGTCGTAGACACTGTGTGGTAACTAATCGTTTAAAAACCCCAGATGCCAATGAAAATATTGTTGGGAATAAGTACGTGCATCGCGATTAAGTTTTGTTCCACTCTACCTCGCCTCTCTAGCACAAAGATGAGCCGTTTATTGGACTTCGGCAGGAAATTTCTTCAGGACTACCAAAATGAAAAAGAAAAAATCAGAGTGGAATTTAAAAAATTAAAATTTTAATATCGATAAGAGTAAAATAAAATCAAATCAAATAAGATAACAAAGTAGACATAAATAAAATGAAATCAATTTGAATCAAATAGAAAAAATTAAATTAAATTGAGATTTTTCTAAGAGAAAAAAGATAAAAATTTCATTTCTGAGAAAAAACCATTTTTTTTATTATATGACGAAAATTAAACCACATAAATAATGTTATACATATACATTTTGTGTGTATTTACAAACATACATACAAACAATGGGATATTATCTACACATATCTGCATACAAAGAAAAAAGGGTTGCCCATACTAAAGAAGCCTTGAACATTAATGTGCACTTGACGACGGAATTTTCCCAAAACTATTTTCAGTGTTTTTCACGTACCTGCGTCTGCTGCCGACTGGCCTATAAAAGGCTATACTCATTTGGTTTTTGGTATTGCGATACAGCAAAGCGACTGAAGCATACGTCTTCATACAACGGACTCATAATTGTAAAGAATACTCATAATAATGAATCCAGCAGTTTTAAACGTGACTAATTGTCCATCGTTCGAGCCTCAGCAACAGCAAAACCAACAACAACAAACCTTGAAGCGTAAAAGAACTCGCTTTACACCCCTCCAAGTGAGAATTCTCGAAGAGGAATTCCTCAAGACTCCTTACATTGGGTCGGAAGAAAGGGCAAAATTGGGGCGAAGGTTGTGCCTAACAGACCACAGCGTTAAAATATGGTTTAAAAATCGAAGGCGAAAGCACTTGCAAGCCATAAAAATCAGGGACGGATTTGAAGAGGTTAACCCGGATCAAGAAGATGGCAATGAAGATTCATCTCCCGACCGTACAGTAGTGATGCCATCACAAATAGAACCGCAGCGGGAAAAGACGAGGGTTCAAATATTGAACGAAGTAATTTTTCCCGCCGACAGGAGTTTACCTCCGATAATCAAACCATGGTATATGTTTTCAGGGTTAAGAGGATCCGAGATAGGAACTTAAGGCTCATACGCTGTTATAAATTTCCAAATTCATCGGTCATTTTTCATAATAAAAAAAGAGAAATTAAATAACATAAAACAAAAATAACATAAAATATGATATAAAGAAAAACAAAATAATTAAAATTATTAAATAAAATTAAAATAATTAAATCAAAATAAAAAATTAAAAAAACAACAAATAAAATAAAAAAGCAACAAAAACCACTGCTGAGTTACCAGATCCCCCATGAGGCGCGAATCGGAAGGAAAATGAAAAAAGTACATATTGTATATAAAGAAAAATATGATAAAGTAAACTAGAATAAAAAGATTAAAAAATATAATTAAAAATCAAGTAAGAATAAAAACAGATATGTATTAATATTAGTTAACTATGAAAAAGATATAAAAATAGCAAAATAAAATTACTATAAACAATTATAAAATTATCATGAATAAAACCAAGTCAAATAAAATAGTATAAATTAATAAAAAACTGAATAAAAAATTAAAAAAATAATAATTAAAAAATAATAAAATACAATATAAAGTTATAAAATATTAAAATTAAAATAAAACAAAATCAAATAAGTAATAAAAAACTTCTACCGCCCAAAAATATTGTTGTAAATTTTTCACTATTTCCAAAAATATATGTATTGAAAGAGTTCCATAAAAACTCACTTCAGTAGTAGAGCAAAATTTTAAGTAGCAGCCAGAACATTTTTTGTTAATTTTCTTATATAACATACAATAGATCATCGAAAAAACTTTAATGCAATAAAATTGAAAAACGTCTTCCGGGCGTATGACCATTCAATTTGAGCGATCTCGAGAAAATTTTATTTTATTTGAAAATTGCTTGATTGTTGGCTGTACCGAAATGGGCGTGGAAAACAAACTTTGCCTTTACTTAAGCAAGTTTTATTAAATTTATCAGCAGTGTCTTGCATTATATTGAGATATCTTAGCTAACCTCTTCATTTGGTAAAAATGGAAAACTTCGCTTATATTTTTTTAAAACCCTAGAATTAATTGTAGTTACGAGTTTAAAAACTTCAAATTCGCTTAGTGGACCTTGATTGGGCTATGCTATTGCAACAAAGGTTTTAAAGAATTTTTGTTCCGCCAACCAACCACCCACCAAAATCACATAACAAACAACTTGGGATAGTTTAAAAAGTTAATAATCTTACCGATATAAAGATAGTTTTTTTTAATCTATTAGATCCAGTAGTTATTGACGACCTAACTTGTAAACTAAAGTAAGGCATATGTATGCATTTTAAAATAAATAAAATAAAATAATAACTGTTTTTTAATATATCAGACTGGGAAGTTAAAAAAAGCCAACGACCAGATTTAAATAAATATAAATTGCTTACACTCCTCGCCTTTAATATATTTAGCATTCTTCGCTTGTGCGACTTTTAACTTTTTCGTGGATTGAGCCATTGCATTTTATTGCTGAAGCACTTCGAAAAACATAATTTAAATCACTTCCTGTATTTATACCAGTGGTCGTTATAAAATATGCAATCAAGTGCAATTCCTTGAAACACTTTATCCCCACCGTCCCACCCACACCGTTTTATCAACAACCTGCTATTCACATCCGAAAATACGAAATTTAATTTTATTCTTGCCCAGCCACGAGTTGAAAGCGTTGATATGCAAAAATTAAATCTTTTACTACCTCATATTTGGACATAAAACAGACTTATATTCACCTTTATTCACATTCGCTAAGAAACATAAAGAATTCCAATGCTTTCACGAGTATGTGAATTCACGTCAGTCGGTCTCTAAGTGTTCACATAGGATTCCACAACCAGCAGTTGCTGTCAGCGCTGCCGCCAACGTACCACCGCCACTAAAGCGAATTACTGTTACTGTCGGCTGCCTCACTATCATTGCGACTGCTGCTGTCAAGTCATAAGTTACAACTTCCACTTGTAGACTTTAAATGTCTGTTGCTCGCTATCGCTTCGGTGCACGAATTTTTATTATCAAGCTACGAAATGGGCGGTGCGCGTTGACAGACAGAGGTGGTAGCAGCATAGTACAAGTGGCTCACAGCTGCGTTGCGAAAACCATATTTGCAATTTTCGGCAAATATTCGAGAAGAGTTCATGCGAAAACAGGTGGAGCTAGAGTTTGTAAATTTAAGCGTTGCACTCATAATATTCGCACGGGTACTCATAAGTACAGAAGCACATAAATATGTAAGAGAGAACGCTTAAAATTTAATGCAATTTATTTGATCAAATAATGTGAATGCAATTAAAATATAATAATATCAATAATAAAGTAAGAGGAAGAGCTTTCTGCATACCTTATATCACCATGGAAAATTTACTGTATTGCATTCAAGGAGTAAAAATTAACGACCTTATCTGAAAAATCGTTTGTATTCGTGAGTATATCACCAAATCTCAAAATTTAAGATGAATTTCTGACGGATTTTTTTATACAAATTTCATATCTGAACAACTCGGCTGAACGGGTGAAATTTGATTTTGATGATTTTCGGTGATAAACTTCATTCGCAGATGCAGAAAAGCAAATTTCACTCAGACTACAGCATAAATTCTGAGCAGATCGGTGTATGGGAGCCATATGATGCAACTATTTGTATACACAAATTTTCAGAACCAATTTGTAGTTATTAAAAACAAATATAAAGAATACCAGATCTCAGTACACGCTTACACGCTTAGTTGAAATACCTCAAAATCTGAATTGTTTGCGTTCAAACAGATAGACAAGAAAAAATTGATGGGTTTGTTCCTACTCCCGCTGGTATTTGCATATTTCGTTCAAAAGTTAATATTTATTTCATGTTCACGTAAGGTATAACAAAATGAAATTGCTTAAAATAAAATAAAACTAAATAAAGTGAAAAAACAAAATAAAATAATATAAATTTCCGCAAAGTAAAATAAAACAAAATGAAATTTGAAAAAATTAAACAAAATCAATTAAAATATCAATAAAATGCAATAGAAAGCTTTACAAAAAAGTCCAAAAAAATTAATTAAATATTGAAATTTAATATATAAACAAAAAAAAGCGTAGAAATTAAACACAGTAACCTTATGTAACGTTAATGAAAATAAAAAATTTTAATTAAATAAAATATAACTGAAAAAATAGAATAAGCAAAAATAATATTAAGTATTTTAAAATTATTAAAAGATGTAAAATTAAATGAACTAAAGGAACCCAAAAAAATAAAACAAGATAGTGAAATAATTAAAAGCAAAACTAACTAAAAAATATCTTATAAAATAAGGTAATGTGAAACTCACATTAAATTTTATTAAACTAAGGCTTAACAAATAAAGTAAAACTAAAGAAATTGGAATAAAAAAATATAAAAAATTTATATCTAAAAAAAAAATTAAATAAAATTCACTGCAAAAATTAAATAAATATAAAATAATAATACGAATTGAAGCAAATTGAAATTTTTGTGTTTGGTGAAACATACAAATTTCATTTCTCAGAAAAAATTATTTATTTTTTTATTTATATCGTTGTGACGTTTTCATTTCTGATTTAAATTTAACAATTTTCACAAGAAAAAAATGTTCGAAATGTTTTCGTTATCCTTTAGCTCAATTAAGTAACGAAAATAAAACCACATAAATAATGTTATACATATATATTTTGTGTGTATTTGCAAACATACATGCAAACAATAGGATATTATCTACACATATCTGCATACACAGAAAAAGGGTGTCTATACTTAAGAAGCCTTGAACATTAATGTGCACTTGACGACGGAATTTTCCCAAAACCGTTTTCAGTGTTTTTCACGTACCTGCGTCTGCTGCCTACTGGCCTATAATAGGCTACGCTAATTTTTTTTTTTTTTTTGCTTGCGATACAGCAAAGCGATTGAAGCACACGTCTTTATACATCGGACTTATAATTGTAAAGAATACTCGTAATAATGAATCCAGCATTTAAACGTGACTAATTGTATACCGTGCAAGCCTTAGCAACAGCAAAACCAGCAACAACAAACCTTGAAGCGTAAAAGAACTCGCAAAACTGGGGCGATGATTGTGCCTCACAGTTAAAATATAGTTTAGAAATCGCAGGCACAGGCACTTTAATGTCACAAACAACCAGGGATGGATTTGGAGAGATTAACCTGGCCCAAGAAGGTGGCAATGAAGATTCATCTCCCGAACGTACAGTAGTGATGCCACCACAAATAGAACCGCAGCGGGTATAGACAAGGGTTTAAATATTGAACGAAGTAATATTTCCCGCCGACAGGAGTTTACCTCCGATAATCAAACCGTGGTATATGTTTTCAGAGTTAGGTTAGGTCAGGTTAGTTACATAAGATTGATCACAAGATGATCTTAGATAGGAACTTAAGGCACTTCCGCTGTGATACCACGGAATATCAAAATAAATTATAAGTTGAAAGAATAAAGAAATAATATAAATTGAACAAAATAAAAATGAAATTAATTAACATATTCAAGTTCTGTTAATATAAATTAATTAAAATTAATTTAAATAACTTTATATAGAGCAAATGAAAACAAAATAAAGTATAGTGAAATTAAATAAATAATAAAAAGTATAAAGCAAAATTTATTGAAATAAAAAAAATTGAAATAAAATAAAATAAAATAAATTTAAAAATGTAAAAAAATTTAATAAATAATAACTGAATAAACAAAACAAAATCAAATAAAATATAAATAATAAAATAAAGTTAATTTAAATGAAGCAATATGATATAAAATTAAACATAATTAAATTACTAAAATAAGCCAAAATTATTATAAATTTTTTTATTTTCAATATTAGTATATGAGCCTGTAAAATTCAGCACTTGAATCGTGAGTTGACGAATATTTTTCTCTCTAGATGAAATTTCACATTTTAGTGACGAAACGTAACTTTACGAAACATTGCGCAAGATTTAGTTGCGATAAAATACGACACATTTGCACAGATATATTTGCGCTTAGCTACAACAATGCATCGTAAAAGCATTACGTTAAAACGCAATCCATAAGTTGCACTCATAGCAATCTTTCGGGTTCGAATATCTGCAAGC